TATTCAAGAGGAAGGTAGATGTTTGTTGGTCATCTGCCTTCTCGGTTTCCCCCTCAGTCTCTTAATATTGGATTTTTGCAGGATTCTATTCTAGGCATTCTTCTAACATTCCATTTCTGACTAGGCTTATCCATTCCCATAGTTTCAAGTTAATGTGCATCATTCACATAGAACCACCTTTGAGCTCCAGATATTTGTATAACTCCCAAGCCCCACCAGGCTCAGTCTTGGTTTGAAGCCGTATTTAAAGAAATAGAGTCCAATAGAGTCTGGTGACTAAAAGCAGTTGGAAAGCAGGGCTACTCTTAACTTGTGTCTCTTGAAGCATGTGCTAGCATGTAGGTAATAACTCAGCACTGTTTCCTAAGATCTCTGTAACCTCCACCTCCCCAGGCAGGGCTGAATCCCTTTGTTACAGGCTCCCATTTTCTCCAGACTCACCCTAAGCCTTTCACTCACAACCCTTTCCAGCCTTTTTGTCATTTGAGCTTCTCCCCACAAACCAGAGCATTTGCCCATGTTTCTCTCTTCCCCACCCTTTTTGGCCTAGCTTGATAAGAGCTCAAGAACTAGGCTGCCAAAGACCAAATTCTCCCTTGAGGACGAGGGAGGAGAGAGGTTACTTGTTCTGGCAGAGACCTTATTGGGTAGGGGGGGAAAGGGATGGTGGGAACACTCACATGTAAACAATCTGTATTCCCAGCACACTTAGGAAGAGGTCTGCTTACTCTCTTCTTGTACATTTCACAAAGCACCTCTGACTCAATCCATAACTTGACCTTTTTATCTCCCTTTCAAACTTGCTTTTCTCTCTAGTATTCCATATCTTCCGTCTTCCACAATGCCTATCATGCTCCTAGTTGCTTATTCTAGACATCTGAACATCATCCCCTCCTTACTCCTTACATCCTGTTCAAATTCTCCTTAGCCAAATACTGAATACATAATTCTTGAATCTCTCCATTTTGGTCAGTCTCCATTGCTGCCACTGTGCTTGGTGTCCCCCCTGCAATCAATTTTCTACACTCCAACCAGAGTGATCCTTTAAAAATGTGAATCTGAACATGCCTTTTTCTCTTTTACTCTATTCAAAAGTTTCTGAGTACCAAGACCTTAATTTAGCCTCTAACATCTAGTTGGTTCCTGCTCATCTCTGTAAACCCCCCCTACCTTAGCAGGATGCATTTCTTCTTGCCTCAGAGCTCTTGTCTAAGCTGGTGTGATTGTCTGAAGTATGTCCCAACTCCCATCCTGCCTTGCATCCTTCCCCCAACCTAGGTCTTGCTTACTCATTCACCAGATCTCAGCCCAAATAGGACTCCTTCATGTAAGGCACCTCTGACTCAGGCTGGGCCAGTTCCTTTTGATATATAGCTCAGACTCCCACACTTCCCTTTTAGTTAGACCCATCACCCTTGGCCAGCAGACCCCAGGCTCCTGGAGGACAGTGTGTCTCTCTCCTACAGCACTGTCTTCAAAGTGCTTAGCACAGTGCTCAGCTCATATCCAGTATTCAGCGAATACTCTGATTAATGGATGCTGCTTTCATGACTCGGGCTCTTTCTGTCACTCCCATCTCATCTCCATGCATATTGTGCCTCACACTTTCTGTGTATCTGGGAAAACCCAAAGTCATTTAATATTTTTTAGCTCATGTTATTCTGTACAGAATTGTCTGCCCAATCTTTCCTAGCTAGTGTCTAATCATTGTAAACATCACAAGTTAGAACCCAGTGTATAGCTTTATTATGACCCTTACTGTGTGATTTAGAAGTTAGTTATTCGATTGCATGTTTTTGTGAGTAGGGTTTGCATGTAACTTCCTTCATTTCAGGAACCCTATTTTGTATATTTATATGTGTCCTTATAATCCCAGCACCTACCACATTTTGAACTGAATCAAAAGAGATGAGATGCCTAACTGAAGATGATAATAGCAATAGTGATTGCTGATATTGACTACCTTGTGTATGCTGGGCACGATTTTAGGTGCTTTACTCTGTTACCTCATTGAATCCTCTCAACCCCTATGAAGGAGTTACTTTTATTCTTCCCATTTTTTAGATGAGGAATTGGAGACCCAGAAAGATTAAGTAAGTTGTCAAAACTTAACAAGCTGGTAAGTGGCAAGGTTGGAATTGAAATCCACTAGTCCCAGAGCCTACCCTCATCTGTGATCATCAGTCAGTATAGTCCGTGCCTTCAAAATTGGGTTTTGAATCTCACTGTCTGATTTAAGGTCTGAATCTTCTACTTACTCATTATGGGACCTGGAGTAAGGTCCTTCTCTGCAAAATGAAGATAATTACATGCCCTTTATAGGGATGTTCTGAGAATTAAATTGATAATCAGTACATACCTACTAAATTTACTAATCAGTAAAATACCTACTAGACTGTACGCAGTTGTACCAGTGTTAAGTCAGTGTGAGCACTCACTGGACAGAAGGTCTTTTAGGGTTCTTTCTACCTCTAAATCCAATGACTCTTTCTTCAGTCCTTTCCCTTTGTTATTACCTGTTACATTTCAAAATTCTGGTGTTTTTTTAAATAATCAAGCTTTTTTTTTTGAGACAGAGTCTCGCTTTGTTGCCCAGGCTAGAGTGAGTGCCGTGGCATCAGCCTCGCTCACAGCAACCTCAAACTCCTGGGCTCAAGGGATCCTCCTGCCTCAGCCTCCCAAGTAGCTGGGAATACAGGCATGCGCCACCATGCCCGGCTAGTTTTTTCTATATATGTTAGTTGGCCGATTAATTTCTTTCTATTTATAGTAGAGACGGGATCTCGCTCTTGTTCAGGCTGGTCTCGAACTCCTGACCTCGAGCAATCTGCCCACCTCAGCCTCCCAGAGTGCTAGGATTACAGGCGTGAGCCACCGCGCCCGGCAATAATCAAGCTTTATGAGGGCCTGAGGACATCTCTGCAGTCCCTATCAATTCACATCTATGGGTTTTGTGACAAGCATATGTTGCCTAAAACCATAGTCCTGATTTCCCATGCTCAGTTCTATGGGTGAGATGGCTGAATAAAGAGAACAACTGAATTCCTGTTTACAGCCAGACCAAAGCAGAAAAAGAAATCCAAATAATAAATTATTGTTTGATTTTTGAAAGTTTCAGATGTTCTAATAGTAAAAGAACCAAAAGGAATCTACAGTTAACTTGTCAGCATTTGTAGCAAATGTTTCCCTTTCCAAGTTAGATGAAGGACATTTTAGGATGGTCTGTGCAAGTAAATTGATTAGCAGTCAGATGGAAATTTCAGCTGCCTAGGTGATGATTTAATTGTAAAGCATACCCAGACCGTGTCTACTAACACATGTTTACTATTCTATAAAACTTATAAAATCTTAAGATTATTTTTGTCATCTCCATATGTTGACAGGCACTACAGTAGCAAATAAAGATGGTAGAAATTACTGTGTGTAGTTCTGAGACTTAATGGTTTGATTTGTGTGCAAATTTAATAACTACTTAGTAGTATGCAACAATATAATGAATTTCTAGAAGTAAATATGTATTACTTAAATAAATCTTGTGTATCTGTCCATTTGTTCAGAGATGGAACAAGGCAAATAAAAATAGAGCAAAATATATTTATAATATGTGAAATTGCAGACTATTATGGCATCAGGAGAGAGTTGAGTTCACAAAATAACTACCATGAAGTCCAAAACACTGGGTAGAGATGGGCCTCTCTGTCTATATAAAAGAGGAAAATGAAAGAAAGCTGTGATTTATGTTGGCCATCAACAAACAAAAATCAGTTATAGGAAAGCAAAGCTCTTGCAGTTACTGGGACTGTTGATAAATGTCTCCTGATGTATGGAATGTGATAAATAGCACCTTCAACAACCCTTGTACAGAAACACAGCAACAGGTTTCTTAGTGCTGATTTCTTCAACATAAAACATTTTTTTACCATCATAAAGATCAATTCATTAAAAGCCATTCTGTATGGGTCCACTGTGCAAGAGTTTGATGTTCTTAATCTAAGGATAGATTTATAGTTTCTACAGATATTAATGTAAAATTATTAAATTTTCTAAGGCAATCCTTTTGTTTTTCACTGAGGTTTTGGCAAGTATTCATTAGATACTGGTTTTAGGTTAAATAATCAGACATATCTGGAAATTGGAAGTATCACAGGGAAGTGACACTTTGTTTAAGATATCATTTTGAATTGTCTCAAAGTTTTCTACCATAGAACTTTAGTTTTTAAAATATCTGATAAGCCTCAAGATCACCTCTGGAGGATTTTTAAAAGTTCTATCCCCTACCTCTGTGGGTTTTTATTTAGTAGGTCTGGGGTGGGCGAGGCAAGGGCAACTTTATTTAAAGAAAAAAGTCACATAAGTGATTCTGCTAGAAGTTAGAAGAACTGCCATAGAGAATGTTACATTAATTTCAGATAGAAAAAAATTTAAAGCTAATATAACCAAATGTACTTTAGCCATGAAACTATTTATTCTGAAATGTACAGCTAGCCAAACACATAAGGTGACTTGATACATGGATTTCTTACTAGCAAACCAGTGAAAAGTTTTGTTGCATCTACTGGAAATAATGCCTTTGAATGGTTAATATGTATTCTGTGATAATTTTTATTCTCACTGTTGTCTGGTTACATTTCCATATAGACTAAAAATATTTCAGTAATCATATTCTATCTGGAGAGTATTTTTATCTTTTTCGTCCTTAAGAAATTATAAAGCATACTAATATGCATTCTAATGTTAGCTTAGATCCTTAGAGGTACTTCCTTTTGTAGGTTTTCAAGTTACAATATGATATATGATACTCAGAGATTGGAATCTCACATATTTCTTTACTTGCCTGTAGTAGCCCCAAATTAGTTATAAACGAAACCTTAAATGTGTGATAAGCCTTTGTCTAAAGTAGAAAACCAAGCCCATATATGTAAGTGTATATCCTAATCTAGTATTAATAACAGAAATCTTGAGTAAATGTCTCATGTTTGCTTCTCATTGTTTCTTTATAGGCATTGCTTCTATGACAGTGCCAGTGTACATCGCAGAAGTCTCACCACCCAATTTAAGAGGCCGATTAGTCACCATTAATACCCTCTTCATCACAGGAGGGCAGTTCTTTGCAAGTGTTGTTGATGGAGCCTTCAGTTATCTCCAAAAGGATGGATGGAGGTTTGTGAATAGTTTTTACACTAAGTTTTTCAAAGAAATCATGATTTGGGGGAATAGGAGACAAGTTGAGAAATCATAGGCAAAATAATAATTGGATATTTTGAATCATTATAGCTAATTTATAAGTGGGTGGCATTCAGCAAAATTGAAAGTGGACAAGAAGCTGATATTTATTTTAATGATAGGGAACGTACTATGAAGAATTGATATTTACAGGGTTTTTTAGCATTTAGGTGACATTTCTCACACTGTATGCAATCTTTTTGCAATATTTGTTGAAAAATGAATGCAGTAATAAATATGCATGGAGTTCTTGTATTCTATCAGTGATTGACAAGCTGTTTATGAACTGCAGATAAAACTAACATCGTTTGGATTTAGGAAGCTATATTCTGATCTGAAAGAAAACCAGGCTTTAAAGATACAGATTTAGCTTTATAGAAAGATACATATAAATTTAAAATACACACATTATTTCTTAATCATTATTTGGCTTCTGTTGAATCAAAAGAAATGAGAAAAGTGGTTTTAAAACTGCTTTAAAATAAATTCAAGTGGAATGTTATAAAAAGAAGATCTTATGGTAGAGTTTAAAGATATATTTGGGCTCTGGATTTTGATATCTTTATAATTTTCAAAACAACAGATTCATCTAACTGTTCCGCGGGAATTTTATTAACAGGTGTTAAAGGTTACACAGTACTGTCTAACCTGTTTTCTTACCATCATTTTTTAGAAAAAAATATTTATTCAGCATCTACTGTGTAGGTACTAGAGATAGCATATTGACAGGGTAAACTCAAGTCCTTGCTTGCATGGCTCGTACAGTGTTGAAGTTAATCCTTAACCATTGAAGAAGAAGAGTTTTATGTGATGTGGATGTGGGGAATTAAACCTCTATGTAGAAAGTACAGTAATGGCTTAGGAAGAGCCATTAACGACTAATCTGGTGAAGTTTTAATTAAAAGTCATGTGAGACAACTCTTTGAAGCCAGTAAGGGCCTGCATTTGTCAGGACCATTAAAGAGAGAAGACAGTTGTTAGAGGTGGTAGCTCTGTCTATAGATGTTGCTGAACTGCCTTTCCACTTACAAAATAATCAGTCTCTGCCAAAGTGAGAAATTACTGGAAAATGGAAGAAGCAGGAAATTTCATTTTTCTTTTCTGCTTGGTGGATGAACAACAAGAGGAAGATGATAACGGTTATCAGCATAACCTGGCATTTTGATTTTTCTTGGAAACTCAGTGGAAGTCAGTTAATTTTTCACATGTCTTTCAGAAGATCTAAATCATCTATTTATATTTTGTTAAAAATTTTAATGTGACTAATGTAGACATATATATATCACATAGAGTGTACAAGCCATGTTTTTCACTTAATTGTAGTAACTTAAACATCTCCTCATTGCTAGTCAGGAAAGAAAGATCATACAGTAGTGAAAATAAATTTATGAATGCAGCATACCTGTGTAAAAGTGGGAGTGTTGGGATGGGCCTTAAACCCCTTTTCAGAGGCAGGCAGACCTGGATTCTGATATATTCCCTACCACTCATTAACTGTGAATCTCAGACAAGGCATTTAGCCCTTCTCGGCTTCACTTTAAAGTGGTACCAAAAATGCTTAGAAGATTCTTGTGGAATCTAAAGTAATTATGTAAAGTATTTAGCCCAGCTCATGGAACATGGCAGTTCCTTAATCAGTGATGAGTCACACTATTATTTACTGTTCTGATGAACACATAAAGGATGGGTGCTACAGTAGGTAAGTTGTAAGGGAGATTGAAGGAAAGTCAACATTCTATGGCCTCTGTTTTCTTTATTGGCAAGGATGGGTCTTGAAGGTGGTGGTAGGGCAGAGGCCTAGACAAAAAAAAATGAATGTGTGTAGCTGCTGTGGGAAGTATAAGAAGGAAGAGACTAGAGACAACAAATGATTTCCAAGTAACCTTGGAGTTTCCAGGTAACCTTGAGTTGATGTTGGAGACGTATATTTGCAGTAAAACCAATTAGCATGTTTGTGTGTATTTTTTCTCTAATACTGGAGAGCCCAAGTTTGAAAAAATAAGAGTATGGAAAAACTAACTTGGGCTGGTATTTAGACTAAAGCGTTAACAGCCAGATTACTTTGAACCCACTTTATTGTTTGCATGAATACCCGTTTAATTATATGTACATGCAAACATGTTTTGTTTTTTTAAAGGTGAATTTTCTCTGTGTTATTATCTTCTGTTATTTGGTATCCTTAGCAGTATGTTTACCTTCTCTGACACCTGAGCTACTAGGAGTGTGTGGTTATCAGCAAATAAAGATTGAAGTGCTGTTTTAGCATTAACTTTAGACTCTGGAATTATCAGCAATTATAACTTATTCATAATTACAACAATAGATAATTTGTTACTTTTATGGCAATATGTTTCAAAAATTCTAAGGAAAATGTGGTTTTAAATATGTCATATAAAATTTCTTTCTCATACTCATAGTTTTATATATCTTAAAGTTAGATGTCCCCTATTTTCTAAGAGTTTGAGTGATTTGTTTCCTTTTATTTCCCTTTTGACTTGTATTGCTTCTGACACTCTACTTCAAGTTACTAACATTGAATTTTATACAACACACCTAGTGTTCCAGATTTATAACCTTGCATTATAGTGATGAATTTCAGAGTCTCATAGCAAGGACCATTTGATCCTAGCAAAAATCTTGAGAGGTTGGTGGAACTGCTATTATTCCCATTTTGCAGATTAAAAAACTAACTCTCAGAAAAGTTAAATATTTGCCTGACACCACATAGCTAATAATTGGCATATTAGAGCTGATTTTTCTTACCCCAAATATAACCACTTTCTTCTTTATGGTTCTGCTTGTAAGAGTTTATCATCTAAAAGCCATAATTGTTGATGATTTTTACAGTAGTTATTGGACTAGTACATACAGAAAATGAAATTGATAGAAAAATTTCTTAGATTTTGAAGTTGAAAGACTATATCTCCCCTATTGTGCCAGATGGGTCAAAGTTTCTGTTCTATTATTGTTTGAATGTCAAAGAAATAAATTGTTTTCTGCTGAACAACTGGAAGATTAGTTTTTCTGGAAGAAAGAATTGCCAGTAGAAGATTGAACATTGGTGTTTTTCTGGCACTCCAGTGTCATAGTACATTCTGTACTGGGAAGGACACCATCTGGTTTCATGAAGAAAAGGGAAATAGGATTTTGAAAATATTGTTAAAGATTTTATTTCTTTAAAGAACAACTTTATTGAGATATAATTCACATGCCATTCAGTTCATCCATTTAAATTGTACAATTAAATGGTTCTTGGTGTATTCACAGGGCTGCGAAACCATCATCATAATCAAATTTAGAACATTTTCATCATTCCCAGAAGAAATGCTGTTCTCCTCAGCCATCACCCTCAAACCTCCCAATCCTTCCAAGACCTATACAAACATTGCTTTTTGTTTGCATAGATTTATGTATTCTGGATATTTTATTTATCAGTATGTGGTCCTTTATGACTGGCTTTTACTTAGCATGTTTTCAGGGTTCATCCATGTTGTAGCATGTGTGTCATTACTTCATTTCTTTTTTTATGGGCAAATAATAATGTAGATATACCACATTTTGTTTATCCATTCATCAGTTGATGGACATTGTTTCCATTTTGGGGCTGTTTCAAATAATACTACTATGAACATTCATGTACAAATTTTAGGATAACCACAGTTTTCACTTCTCTTGGATATATCTGAAATTGCTTGGTCATATGGTAACTGTATTTAGCTTTTTGAGGGCCTGACAGACTGTTTGCAAAGTGACTGTACTATTTTACATTCCCACCAGTAATATATGAGGGTTCTAATTTTTCCACTTGCGGTAAATACTTGTTATTATCTGTCTTTTTGATTATAGTCATCCTAGTATGAAGTAGCATCTCACTGTAGTTTCAGTTTGCATTTCTGTAATGATAATGATGTTGAGGAAGATTTGATTTTTACCTAATATAGTGTTTATAAAGATGGCAGAGATATTTTGGTAGTTGGTAGATATTTTGATAGAACTGTTCTATCAAACAGTTCTATCACTGTTCACCCTTTCCTTTGCTAGTGATTTTTTATCTTACCAAACATAGATTTACTCACTACACTTCAAGCAAACAAAGGTTTTCTTTTTGTTGTTGTTGAGACAGAGTCTTGCTTTGTTGCCCAGGCTAGAGAGTGCCATGGTGTCAGCCTAGCTCACAGCAACCTCAAACTCCTGGGCTCAAGTAATCCTGCTGCCTCAGCCTCCAGAGTAGCTGGGACTACAGGCATGCGCCACCATGTCCGGCTAATTTTTTCTATATTAGTTGGCCAATTAATTTCTTTGTATTTATAGTGGAGACGGGGTCTCGCTCTTGCTCAGGCTGGTTTCGAACTTCTGACCTCCAGCAATCCACCCTCCTCGGTCTCCCAGAGTGCTAGGATTACAGGCGTGAGCCACCACACCCAGCCAAGGTTTTCTTTTTTTAATTGTTGAATTAAATCCTGGCTTATAGGAAACCCACAATAAATATATAGTAAGTGAATTTAACAGCCACCAAAATGATCTGTTTAAAACACTTTAGCATGCCACTGCTAAAATGCTGCAATACTCACCATTTACTGTAGGAAAAAAATCAAGCATTTAATCATGTCTTATGGTATTTAGTCCAAGCCTGCTTTTTTACATTTTTGTAACTAGTGTTGCCTTTCCCCACCTCTCCCTTTATATTTAATACCCATGTTTATGCATCAGCCACACCTTGCTTTGTCATGTTTCTCTTTTTTTCCTCCCTCCTGCTCTCTTTGTCTATAATGTCTTTCTACCCTGTCCTGGGTTACTGGTCCAACTCCTGTTTATCCTTTAAATCTCTACTTATGTATCTTATGATACTTTGTTCAGTTTGTTTTTTCATAATACTTTGTACAAAGCTTCACTTTTATACTTACCATATTATTTTGAACTAGTTGCTTATTTGTCTG